TTGTACTTTTGTGTTTGGTGAGTGAAATTTTTGATAACATGCAATGAAAACAACATTGGCTAATATGAGGAGGTCATTCCAATGGGAATGTCAAATCAACTCAATTCATTGAACCAATGGTGCCTAGGTGTTTGATTAATTCGTAGGAAGTAAGGGACTAATGTGAGATGTAGGCTCAAGCATACCCAATTAAATGTCTACGGTGTATCAAAAGGTCACAACGAAGTCTGTACTCAACCTAGTCAAACCAAACACTTTACACTATAAAGGAGAATTGAGGAGAGTTGATTTAGCATACGCAAGAGGAAGTTCCCCTTGGATTAGCCAACAAAGAGCTTAGCTACCCATATTCAAAGCAAAAGCATGCATAGTGTAAAGAAACATGGAGATGAACTAGAAATGAAATAGAGGTGAAGTAAAGCTTTGAACTTGTATTGATGCAATAAAAAGTTAAACTACAAAAGAGACTTCATTTCATACCCAACAACAAAGATTGGAAAGAAAACCCAAATGTAAACATAGAAATTCAAGAACATGAAGCTAAACTTGATTGCACTTGAAATAAATTAGATTAAAGTGCAAGAAATAAAGATTACAAGTGAAATACAACTTACTACAAGTGAAATGGGAAAGGAAATGCAAAAATCCAATTTTCTCTCTCTAGAACTTCATCATCTTCCTTGGAAGTTTCTCTCTCTAAAAGCTTGTGTTGCTAAATAATGGTGTAAGGATCCTTTCATTTTCGTCCATGATCCCTCTATGGNTCATATGTTAGTTGCACATACTCAGGGAGTGATTTTTTCCCTTGGACATTGTGTGGATACACTGGGGTATTGGGAGGAGGTCTCTGGTAATTCATCAACGTTGCTATCAAGTCCGGGGTAATCTCAATGACCTTCTCCCTAACATTGGTCTTGAGTACACAAAGGTCCTCGTCAACCACATTCAATCTCTTATAAAACTCCCTACACATCGCCAGGTTATACCCACTGACCAGCTGAAACCAAATCTCAATCTCATGCCCCTCTATCATTTTAACGACCTTGTCATTCAGCCTGAGAGTAGGCCTATCCACGTGAAGCTTGCATGTCACATTCTTCTCGTCTATGCTCTTTGTGCGAGCATCATTATGTTGCTTTTTCCTCCTCTCCCCACTCTCTCTATTGGGGCCCTCCTCTGCCCTCTTACGGGAACTCGTGCATACGGGTTATGGGGGACTCATCCTCTTTCGTTTCATATAGGCCATGAAAATAAACAGTGCCCCACATGCCACGAATGCCAAAACCCACGTCCAAAGTTGTTCAATGGGATCAAAATAGTCAAGATAGAGCTTACCTATATGAGCCATTTCAATGGATTTCAAGCTTTTTGGAGAAGATCACAGTGAAATTGAACTTGGGGAAAAGATGGGAAAACTAGGGTTTTGTGATATATTCAATGAATGGCAGTGAAATCCAAGCAATAATCACTCCTATTGATGAAATATGGAAGATTTGAATGATGGGTGAGGAGTCTTTGAAGTTTGGAGGAGATAGGAGAGAGAGGAATGCTTGGGGAGGTCAAGAACTATGGAGGAAATGACCAGTTTCCCCGTAAAAATGAACTTAAATCCTCTATTTTCAGCTTTCTGGGCAAAACATACTAGTAGGTTTTGTGCACTGAAAAATTCCTACCAATAGGTTTTGACAAAAATCTACTAGTAGGTTTTAACTTTTTTCCAAAAATTCTCTGTGCTCTCATTTTCATTTCCACTCCAATTTATTCCAACCTCTAAACATTCTAACAACCTATTTGTGACCTCTACTCTACCAAAAACTTGAACTACACTTGTGAACCATAATTGAGTGATCATGCCCAAAGTCATTTACGAAATTGCAATATGATTTGAAATTTTGATGCTTTCATAAACATAAGACATGGATTTCTAAATCTAACTACCAAAACGAATACCTAAATTGTAAAACACAGATTCAAATAGTAAAGGCATTCCTAATTCCTTCCAAATATCAAATGTTTAAACAATATTCCTCCATCCCACAAGCATAGGGCTACATGATGATATTGTTCAAATACCCGAACTAAGCACACATAAGCATCACCATACCATGGCTTTAAATGATATTCTAGAGTATGCACCTACACATTCATTTTCAAACTCGTGTGTGTATGGAATGAACATGTAATTTAAACATTTACCCGATGGAATTCACATTCACTTAGTATCTAAATTCAGCTTTGATGCAACCTCACCAAGGGTTTCTCTCAGAAATGAATAACACTATAATTATCCTGCCATAGTCTCCATTTGTATATGTGAGATAGAATCTTATGCACAAACTGAAGTATGTTCACATATAATCCAAAAATGAAATACATGCATAAAAATGAAACAACCTTCGCATAATCTCATGAAATGAATGTTAGGGAACTAGATAGCAAAATCAACTTCTCTTTTCTTTAAAGGTATGTTTTTCCCATGCTTTCTCTAGATCATTTAGGACTTTCAAGGGTTGTAATGAGGTCTTGGGGTGATATTGAGGCAAGTGAAACAAAGGATAGAGGAAAACAAAGAGGGCTATTCCGAGGGGATGACCTTTATTGTCAAAAACTTCCTTTTTTTGTGGAATCTTCAACTTAACACTTTCATTCACTCTTTGTTTTTTTTTTCATTCTTTTCCTTAACATTTTCCTTTATCTTTTCTCATTATTTTCTTCTTTCAACCCTTATTCTCTCCTTTTTCTTGGATTTTTTCATTCTTTTCCATTCAAAACTTTTGAAATCCGCATCCTTTATCCCTTTTTGTGGGTTTCTGCACCACTGCTCCTTCTCTTTATGATCTCTCATGGTCGGTCTTAGAACAACCAAGGTGTGATAAAATTTTGTCATTTTGCCCTAGCTTGGTCAATTGTGTGGCATGGAAACGAATTTTCAACAAGGCTCAATCACAGCACTAGGGATAATATTTTCACAAGAAAAGGCTAAGGCTCAAAGTAAAGTCAATCAACTACCCAAATGCACTCTAACCAAAACAAGCATAATAATATTATTGAACAAATTTAGAATTTGAAAATTTATTTCTTGAGTAAATGTAAGTTCCGTCCAACAAAGATTGGCACTAAAGCTCTCATAGGTGCTTATTCATCTCCACTATTCATGTCAAACTCTAAAATGTGAACTCAGTCGGTCAAATTGTCGAAATTACACATTCAAGGTGCACTTATGGGTGAGTTCAAAAGCAAACACGTATGTGATACACTTAGCAATAGGATAAACTTCTATGATGCTCTCATGTATCCTTTGGGTTCCATAAGATTGTAACCCATTACAACGCCCCTCATCGGATTTTCAGGTGAGATGGCCTATCCTTTGGGTTCCATCACCTTGCTAGTCACAGAAAGTACAACACCAAGAAGCTCCACTATCATGGTAAACTTCATAATGCTAGACTATCCCTCTGCCTACAACATCAAATTTGAACGCCCTACACTCAACACCTTAAGGATAGTGTCGTCCACCTATCACCTTGTTCTTCGTTTTTCAACCCTCTGTGGGATCGAAAAAGTTAGAGGAAATCAAGTCTCTGTCGGAAAATGCTACGTGGCCTCTATGATGATCAATAAACCCCAAGAGGCCCTCTAGGTGGAAGTGTTTGGTATGACAGCACACTAAAAACAGGAAATCCTTGGCCTACCTATGGGACACCGAACACCTAAAGAGCTATTATCAATAGCGGGTACAAGCCGGTGGCTCTTATTTTATTAGTCCTTTATTGTTTCAGTTGATTTATTCTATTGTTTACTATTTTATGAAATAAAACTCTGCGAAGGTTATTGTGTCCAGAATTGCCTTGCTTTCATTTCATAAAGTTTGTGAACAACTTATAAAAGTCAAAACATGACCTAACAATAAGGTAGACAAAAAGATAAAAGTCGTCGTACTCCCAACGATCAGTCACTGTTCCCCGAGCCACTATTATCAAGGCTTTCCCCATCACTATCTATTCTTGGTTCCTCATATAGGATGAAGCTAAAGAAATCAATAATAGGAAAAGTTGTCAAGCTCTTCATAACCATCAATAAAAGCACCTGCAATGGCCCTCTCAGCAGCCTCCCTCCTCATCTCCACCTCAATGGAATGTGCCTTAGCCATGGCAACCCTCTCCTGAACTATACGTAACTCGGCCTCAACTCCAACAGCCCTCTCGCGGGACGCTCACAGCTTTGAATTTGTTCTCGTGCAGATAGTCACCTTATTAGTCTCCAGCTTCATGCTCTCTCGCGAGTCGCCAAAAAGTTTGGCCTAATCCTACCTTTACTCCCTAACAGTCTATGTATTCCACTTCACGCTCTCTCACAAGTCGCCAAAAAGCTTGGCCTAATCCTACCTCTACTCTCAAGCAGCCTCAATCTCCAGATAAGCCACTACTAGAAACAAGGCAGCTATGTGGAGCTATAGTTCCCGTAGAAGACCGCACTGGAGTCTCAACTTCTACAATGATATAAGGGTCAGCTCTAATACACACATGAGTCACAGTTTTTAAAGAAGTGGAGACACCAACGGATCCCGCACCCGAGAAGAATCCAAATCATCGAACGTCAACCGAAAAGCACTGGGGTCATCAAACCTGGCCCTCTTGGGAGGAGGGGAAAAAGCCACCCTAAAAACATAGAGAATCTCCACCATCACTCTATTAACAGGACGTATGTAATTAGAAACAAGAGCAGGATTGGAGAAAGCGAGTTTGCCTCTTACCGAGCCAAAATCCATCATAGTCTCCCTCTCTACCAAAACCCAGAACTCTAACCCGTCGCCCATGAATGCCTGACAGTTGCCTGCCAGAGTGCAACTTTTCACTGCCGTCGGTTTCACAAATTTGTGTTTAAAAGTCAAATTCAGAGAGAAAGAAACATTTTTTGGAGAAATTTGGTTCCCAAACTACCTTTGGCATTTTGTACGTCATAGATCTTGAAAAAATACCCAGATTTAAAAACAAATTCACCTCAACTTGAGGCATCGCCTCTGTAGATGGCTCCACCATAAAGGTTGGATGGTGTCGTCCTTGGCTTCGCCAGGACTTGTCAAGTGGAGGCCCTCATTTGATCTCTCATGCAGTCCTGCCATGGAGGTCTTCCTAGTCTTCGAAGTCCGCATCTTCATCTCCATTGAAGCTCCCTACATTGTGTTAATAGATGGGTTGTTTAGCTCAAAGAAAAGAGGTAGCAAGAGAGGAGGAAAATGGGTGGAATTGTACCTTTGGGATGGACATTTACCAGTAAAGCTACCGTGGGAAGCAAGCCACCTACAGGTAAAGGGGCTCACTCATCCCCTCAACCCCCTTTCATCATGATTGGGGCTTGGGGCATGGGGGGCAAATGACAAGCCCAGATCTAGCTGGGTCAGGCCCTATTAGTCAAGTAGACCTAGATCAGCTAAAAGGATCAATCAAGGCCAAAGGGCTCCAAGAAAATTAGAGTACATGAGAAGCAATCATCAGGATACCCAATCTTGAATATCAAGACAATATTTAATTATACTTGTCTTTTGTAGTTATCCTCTCCAAAGCACTAGTACCTTTACCCTCACGTCACTGTCTCACCTAAAAGCTTTGTACCTATAAATTGTAAACTCCCTCCACATGAGAAGGGCTTCTCTGTACACCCCCTCGCATAGTTATTTCTCTCTCCTATCTACCATACCTCTCCCGGAGCTAACCTTTACTCTATCTCTCACCTTACTTTATTAATAAAGGTTATTCAGCCACCGTTGTCATTTCTCTTGTAGAATAGATCACTCTGACCGAACCACTATATACCTACGTGTTGAACAATATTTACCTTTTTGTCTTTGATTGTTTTATTAATTGTTTCATTAATTCCCTTGTATTATTCACTCGACTGTTGATCTTACATAAGTCTATTTTGTGCATCTCACTTTCATCCATCCAGATTTCCTTAAATCACCTTTGAATTCCTACAAGAAAGCTAAATAAATTAAACATTAACCCTAATACTTCATAAATTAATTACTTTAATTCAATTTTCGCACATAAGCAACTCTAAACCCTAATTCAATTCCGCACTTTTTAGGGTTAATCAATGATAGCACTAGCTTGTTATGTGATAAATGTTCTGTTCTGCACATTGATCTTTCTCTTTATAGTGCATAAGTCTTTAAAAATTTTGGCATATGATGACACTTGTTTTATTGCATCCAACAAAGAGATGTTAATTTTTACTTGTTTAAAAAGTTCAAAAAATTTTGCATGATTATTCAAAGTTTGCAACTTTTTCATTCTTTGAGGAAAAAGTAAAGGNGTTTTATTGCATCCAACAAAGAGATGTTAATTTTTACTTGTTTAAAAAGTTCAAAAAAATTTGCATGATTATTCAAAGTTTGCAACTTTTTCATTCTTTGAGGAAAAAGTAAAGGAATAGGACATAATGGCTCCTTTTCCTCTTGCAACACGGTTTGCCCTCGAGGAACAACGTCTTCTTTATAAAGCTTAGGAGGTGCAGTGATTTTCTCTCCTACAATTTGGTTCTTCGATTTTGTTAAGTTGATTTGATTTTTCATAGATTTTGTTGATTTGGTTAATCTGAGCGATTTGCTTTGGGTTAGTATTACCTTTAAGTTCCCATGTCGCAAGAAAATCCTAATTTATGTAATACAGGTGTTTTGTAAGCATACACATCTTTGAATTTGTTTTTGCAGCCATAAATTTTAAAGTTATGTGAGTAGAACAATTGTCCATCAGCAAAAAAGAAAAAAGAAAAAATAGGTTGGGACTGCCCTTTTTCTTTTCTTTTTTCACACTTCGGTCCCCAAGGATTTCCTGAAGATTTTCCTAAGCAACTTCCATCCTTGCTATATGTATTATTTCAGTGTCACTTTGTTGCGATGATCATACAAAACCAGAAGCCCATATGCATATCCTAATGCAGAAAGCAAAGTCCTAGCAAACAGGGAAAGGTTGATAGTTTTCTGCAGATTTTATCACGATAATTTTCTCGTGCCAGTTTTACAAATAATTCGTGTCGGTATTCATAAACCCACTAAGATCAGATACAACTCAAAGAAATCCTAGGTCAGCTATCAGAGAGAGTCAATTTACTTTTCACTCTGCTTTTGTATGATCAAGGCAACCTGATCAGTTGTCGATGCTATCAACCACGGCCAGTAATCAACCATGCTTATATATAGAGCATGCTGTTCAACAGCCAAAAATGACCTGCAGCTACTATACCCTGGGCAATGCAAGACTCCTCACGTTTCTATGCAGTTCCAGAGGGCAGAGAAACTCTGAAAGGGATCAGAGGAATTTTTAATTTGGGTGCCACTTTGATTCAGTTAAAATTACAGCCTTTTTTATTTTTCTATTCCCTATTGAAATAGAGCTGGCAAATAACTCCTTGTTCACTGTTTATCAAACAGATACCATATTATTCAAACTTCAAATGAACGAGAAAATTTGAGAAAATAAAACAATCAACACAAGGTCACAATTGCTTGCACCCATAGTAATCATCAAACTGCCATTTATGGGTCTGAAAGCCCTCAATTGATTGAGACTCACCAGATTCATCACCCAACCCACGTCATTAGCACTCATCTTTGAGGAGGGTCCACTGTCCGAATATGTGCACCAGTCATTCCTTCAATTCGATCTTTGGTGATCTCCACAAAGTGACCCACCATTTCATGAAACTGTTTTAGCCCTGACAGTGGGAGAATGATGGAGGAGCGATCAGAACCTGCCACCTGTAGTTATAAAGGCATAAGAAAAATGATATACGTAACACAAAAGACAATAAAAAGACATCCAACAAGAAACTCGTACAAACTAATCATCGTCAGGCATTCAGAAAACTCCTTAAGGCCATACCTCAGATATTCTTAAAAAGTGGCCCCTGTTGTTGCTGCCAAGATCAAAAAAGAACCTCTTTTGATCGGCCCTGATCACCTTTGAGACCCCCAAATTATTATTATCATCCATTGGTGGCAAATCAACTGCTCTGTCTACATTAAACTCTGATGTTGGAGCAGGTTGAGAACTATGACCAGTTATAAAACCAGCTCCTACATCATCTGAAAGCCCAACAAGATGTTCTGATGGCTCAGAATTTTGTTGCTTTGATGCATGTATACAACCAGAAAATGTAAAGGATTAGTTGAAAAAGAAAAAAGGACAGGAAGCAGAAAGAATAAATGCCTAAGAAAAGAAAAAACACCTGATTGGGCAGCATGAAAAGTCTGGATGCCTCATTTATTTCAGCCAAAATATTCCTGAATGCAGCCCACCCTTCATCCCGTGCACTTCCTGCAGGAACAATAATAGTACTGCGGTTTCTGCTAACAGAAGCTTCAGACACCTGCACACAATCAGATATGTCAGAGATAATAAAATTTCTGGTACTGTTATCCCCGTAATTACATAAAAAAAAAAAAAAAAGAACTAAAGTATGACACATTTAATATGTCCTTGTGTCCACAATTTGAGCAGTAAGAGAAAGACAGATATGGAACGATAAAGCAACTCAGGCTAACAAACATGAAAGCATTACACCACGGATACAAAGAATAGGAATCCGCTCTACAACCACTTAAATGCTTAAACAATACTGCTCCACCTTAATATCTCTCTCTTGGTTCATTTCAAGTGTAGTTCCACCACATTGAATACCGAAAGTATTTCCACAATTGTACTCCACAGAAAATGGGGACAAAAAAAAACACCTTGTACAAGTTGGAGCAGTCTTCTGAAGCAGGTTAAGAAAAGGCAAAGAAATTGATGATGACAATGAAGGATGAGAAACTAGGCATTGCATCTAAATTGCCAGCAGATATTACACGGAAGGTGTAAACTACATCACACAATCCTCCAAAAGCATAACAGCTGGACAAGCAAGTACCGGATAATTTCTTTGAATCGTTCTGTATTGAACTAAGCCCTTGTATACTTCTTGGTAAGCACAACTCTGTAGAATTTGCTACCAAAATCCAGGTCCAACAAAATTTCTATCCACCAAAACAACCATGGCCCACAAAATACAAAACAAAAAATGCATATAAAATGTCAAATAAAAAGAACAATGTATATAAGAATGCCTAAATGCGCAAAAAAAAGGAAAACAAGAACTCAAATATGCAAGGTCCTACATGGCCCACTTTTTAAAATCAGATAAGTTTTAAACATTTCTTTACCTCTTTAAGTTTGATTTTATTAAGCATTTTATGGGCTGCATCCCCTAAGCAATTAATCGAACATGAGACCACATAGAGGGTTTAACAATTTAATGATCGGGGATCAAAATTATGTTTAGTTATTATTTTGGTCGGCCCGGAAACAAAATGTTTCAGCAATATTTCAGAAGCATTTCAAAACTAGAAAATAAAGAAAAAATTGAAAATTTGTTTCCGAAATACCCCGAAACAGTGATTTCAATATTCAAATGTTTTGGTCATTTTGATCGAAACCAAACAAAATTTTGATCCTTGAGACAGCCAAAGTAAAACCACAATGTCATTAACATAACCAATTAGTAATAAAAATAATAGCAATTTACTATGGATATGAACTAAGAATTACCTATGAAGAAAAAATAAATGAGACCAAAAAACAGTGGGTTTTCTAACATTTTCAGCTAATTCCCTAGGTGTTTTGAAGAATATTTACTTCTTAAAAAAATAATTTATTCATTAAATGCACAAAAGAGGAGTAATATAGGAAACTCAAAGAGGCAAGCACAAGAATTTGGTAGAGAGAGACTAATAGATTGAGCAATCCTATTCCTTGCAACAATTTCAATATTAACAGATATCATTAAAATTTGAGCCTTTTTTGATTGGCAGCCCAAGTAAAAATAAAATTAAAACAAAAAACTACAGAGTCCCCAACAAATTAAAACCAATACATAATAATCCCATCTTAATCCTAGAGCAACAGAAAACCTTGAATTAGATCCCAAACTTCATCCTTAAATCCAAAGCTTCATCCAATATATTTGCAATCCCATCACTATGTGCACGCAACACAGACAACTCATACATGGAGACTTTTCCTTATTTTCTTCATAACAACAGACTACCATTTGCTATCATCCAAACAAGCATCTTCTCACTTTAACAGGCACTCTTGCCTTCCAAATCATTGAACAAGGTTCAAATATAAAAGTGTTAGGATTATCAATAAAACACTCAAAATCGGAGCAACAAGAAAATATTTTGGATGAGTCAACTGGCCAAAATCTTCTATCACTAATTGAAGAGTCCAAAGAAACCAAATCAAGCAAAGAAAGAAGAGAAGAACACACCATGATGTCCCAGTCCATCGGATTGCGTAAGAAATTCAAATTCCATCCTCCATGAGCAGAAAAGTAAAAAAAAAAAAAAAAAGACACTAGCTATTGAAATATTGTGAGACCCCAACAATCTAAAGAGACAAGGAAAACATGAAGTCAAGGATGACTCACTAATCCTACTATCCAACCAAAATCTAAACTCTTTCCCCATTCTTCTCCCTCAAAGTAATGTCTTTTAAATGCATTCAAACCTTGAGAAGTAAATTTCTGAAGATTAAGAAAGAAGCATCAACTCACCACATTAGAGTCCCTCTTTCATAATTACTTGACAAGAACAATAACTAACAAGAAGTTAAACAGTAAATAATCGAAACCTTTTCATCTGTCTACTTCACAAGTTACTATCACACATAGAGATCCTAGTATTCATCAGCCTAATTTTCAAGGAATGCAGGGAAAGTGAGGAAACCTTCCAATAACAAAGTAAAGAAAATTTTGAGTGTACGTGTGTAAATTAGGGATAAGTATAAGTTCCATGTGGCTGGTTTTTAAATCATGTTGACAGCAGTCAATCATTGTAATGCTTGGATAAGAAATTGCGCTCTAGACACACTTTTTACATACCCAAAAAAAAAAAAAACATCATGCTCTTAATATTTGTAATCAGTCACATTCGAAAAGGGGCATAGAAAAACCTCCAAAATCGAAACCACCTAATTGCCTCATTCACAAAACTCCCCTCGAAAGGGTCCTCATTTTCAAAGACAACACATGGCATGAACCAGGACATAAGAATAAGAAGAATAGAAGAAATCTAAGAAGCATGGACACAAGATCCAGATGCAACAAAACATGCACAGGAAACATGGAAAATCCTAAAAAACTAAGACACAAACACAATTAGAACCTGCAACAAATAATATTTGGCTAGGGCATTCTATGATTTGTCATGTCTAAAAAGATGTCATAATACAATAAAAAAAATGATTCATTTATGACAAGTAAATATAAAATCTAGTACTCCAACAGTCCAACATAAAATTTTAGACTGATGAATCATAATAGCCTTCTTTAAAAAAAACCTTTTCTTTTGCTTTTTTTTTTTTTTTTGTTGGTAAATTTTGAGTAAAACTTTAATGTGATTAGCCCTGTTCATTATATATTTCTTCATGTCATTAGATAGTCGTATATCAAATTTCCAAGATTTGTTAATCAAGTATTAGCAAATATCCAAGAAGTTCACCAAAATATTTTTTCAGCCATTGACATTCTTAAGAAATGTCGAACACATTGCCAAAAAAGCGTTGAATACGTATTTCAAATTAAAATTGTTATTTTTGGAACATGTGCATGACCAAAACAGCATCAAATGCGTGTTTAATAGTATCTAAGAAGCATGGATCGTAATTTTGTTTCGGTGCATAGTTTTTGTGATTTTGGAAATGAAAACATTTTAATAATGTTTCAGAAACAAGATGTAAATAAACAAAAATTTTGAAAATTTAATTTTGAAACATTAGTTGAAGCATACCGAAACATTCTAAAACAAAGGTCGAAACACGCCAAAACACTTTGAAACCTACAGATGTTACCTGGATCGTAGGTCGATTTGATACGTGGTAAAAATATGGTACACAGTACCAATATGGTATGTAGTACGCTACATCTTCCAATATGCAGTGCAATGGAAGTAATAGGCTTCATTAGTACAATATTTTTTGACGTGATTCATTGTTTTGAGGATTGCTTTTCCTATCATATGAAATCATATATAATTATACATTCACATACACATAGTTTATTAATATTTATCTTAGGGTTTGAATTACAATTTGGAGTCAAAAATTTAAGCGATCTACATCGCGAACCCACCCCGTTTTAGGTCGTGCGACCGTAATTCGTGGGACGATAGAAGTATCTATGATCTAGGTATTGATGACGAAAACATTTCGAAACATATAAATTTTAATATTCAATCAATAATTCGTTTTTATTTTCATGAAAACGAAAATATTTCGACCGTTAAAAAAAAAAAAAAAAGTTCACCAAACTTATTGAATTAACTTCTCATTGATGTATTGTTTCATCGAGATCCAATCTAAATCATGATATAATTTTCTTGTTCTTAAATGGACCTCAATTTTTTTAGGTTTATGCTCTACTACGGGTAAAGATCCGCCCAATTTCGATTTGCACATAATATAGGACTTCGAAACGAAATTTACTTCCTTGCTAATAAGTGTCGGTGTCTGAAAGATATCAAACATGAAAATGTTAGAAGTGTTAATGCTTTCCATAGAGAAATTAATGCTCCCACACCACACAATACAAGAGCAAATGATATGCTATTGTAGACTATACAAGATCCAAAGATAAAGAAATTAAAATAAAAAAAGATGGAAATCTGAGTCAATTACATGGCATTTTACACAAGCTGATTTTCTTGAAGTTGCAGTATGACAATTTAGAGTCTTTACTTTCACCAAGCATTATTTCCTGAAAACATTAGAATATGTTTTCTTTCCATTACTGGTGTATCCAAGTAATTTTTGGGCCAAAGAATGCTCTGTCAGTGGGATTTTGATCGCCAATTTCTACATCTAAATTTGGTGTCATCAATCTTAATGGCAAAAAGAAAGGTCTTTGACACTCTTGTCTTTTAGTCTTCCTTGGCTTCCAAGTCCATCTGGCTACCAAGGATCCTAGTCCCAGGATTCCAAGCTACAGTGCTCACCACATAGAGTTTTAGTTGCTTTATGTGGAGCTTGCCAATAAAGCTCTTTTCTTTGATGTGTGATGCATCTTTACCTAGGGATGAGCACGTAAGTATCTAAATATTAATTTCACATCTACTTTTCTTTTCTTCTATTTCAGAATTTATTCAGCAAGGATTATCCAATGTCATAAACTCTCCTTAGCAGTTTGCACAGACAACAGCATTTAGGAACCACTTTGCCCTGTTCATCAAATTGTCAACAGTAAAAGTTTCAATAAAAAAATGTCCTGACAAAAAAAAAAAAGGCAACTTAAACGAACTCAATTAAAACTTGAATAATTAATATTAGGGTTTA